CTTTGCACGACTCCTTATAATTGAAAAAGGGAGGTAGTCAGGTTGGTTTCTAAAACGCTTCCATCTACAGTGCGCTCTCCTTTTCTCTCCAATTACTTTAATGGTACTGTATGAAAACCAACTGGGAAAACCCTTGATAGCTTTGCGTTTTAAAGGGACAAATTCGCGAATAGCAGTAGTAACATAGTTATAAAAAATTTGAACAGCGTCATTGATATCACGACCAGCGAACTCTGATTCCCAGTCAATTCCATTAAAATACTCATTCAATTCAGGAAACCGGGCTTTTCTAAAACAAAAAGCATCACCATGATGTATAGATAATGAACGAGTAAATGAAATTGAGCAGGAAAACTTTAGAGTGTAGTGCGCACTGTCCTCAGGAAGCAATGGATCACTACAAAGAGATAATTGATGTACATCGGCAGAATTCGTTACTTAAGAATTTTTATGATAATTTAGTTGGTTAAGTCCGCAAAGGGAAAGAACATCCAGAAATTCACTGGAGCGGGCGCTGACGGATCCGGAAGCAGTGGCGAAACCGGAATCCAGGTCAAGTGACCAGTTTAATTCAGGCAAATTAAAGTCTCCACAAATTATAAAACGATCATTAGGTTTACTTTCGATAATTAAGGTTAATTGATTTAAAAAATTATTTAGAGAAGTAATAATTATTACGTTACTATTGTGAGGGGGAATATAAACGCAACATATATGAATCGTCGTGCATCCCGAGCGCAACGTTACACCGACAGCGTCAACACCAGTGAACCAGGCGGATTGAAGAATTGCAGGAAGATACGCTGCAACTCCAATAAGAACACCCCCACCGCGCAAACTGTTGTCAGCGACGTTCGGGCGATCGCATCTAAAAACATTAAAGGAGGAAGGAAACCCTTCAGAGGAATAAATACCGGGATGCAGCCACGTTTCAGCGAGGCACACGACATCAAAATCCGCATTCAAGAGGTTATTATGCAAAGTTTGGTGCGAAGACCCCGAACGTTCTGATAATAAAAAGATAAAGCCATTGTACAAATAATATCATCGAGAAAGAAATATACAGTAAAAAGCAGAAAAATTAAAGTTTATCAACATCGGTGACTTTCCTAATTAGTATAGGGCGCGCAGTTTCATTCTTACGGACGTAAACTCTACAATCACGCGTCCAGACAAACTTGTAGCCCTTCTCTCTGGCAGCCTTCCTTACGTTACTTAACAAAAACTTATTCGCAGGCGTCAGATGTTCGTTGATGAAACAGCGTTCAGAGACACCATCAATAGACAGGCCAGGTGGCGAACCTGGAGAACCAGAACGCTTCTTTAGCTTTGCAGCAGCCAGAAAGTTATCTCTGGTGAGACGACTACAAAACCTGACCACAATACCCTTAGGATTCGTTCCACGATTTTGATTTTGATTTCCAGGACCGTGCGGGACACGATGAGCTGCGTCCACATCCGTTGAAGACACAGGAACCCCAATAAAATCACCCATGGTTTTCAACACCATCAAAAGGTCTTCATTATCTTTTTCCAGAACGCCTTGTAGTTCTAAGTTATTTCTTCGGGAGTATTGTTCCAGGTCACCAACACGACCAGACAAATCATCTACTTGTTTGCGCAGCGACATATTTTCGGCATTCAGCTTATCTATAATCTTCAATTGATCCTGAAAGCGTTTCACAGTCGCCTCAAAATCTGTTACCCGCTGACTACAAAATTGTACCGACTCAACCAATTCATCATATCGTGAAGTCATTCTCTGCATTTCTGTTCGCATTTCTCCAATCATCTCGCAAACAGTTTCAAGTGTGACAGAAGAAACATGATCGGCAGGAGTACCAGGAGGGGCACCAAAGGAATGAGATAGGCGTCGCGACGCCACCGGCGGCGGCGATCTGCAAGTGGAACACCTCCATGATGCGCCAGCGACCGATAAGGCGACCGCAGACTCTCTGGCGATATCCACGCATTTGGCATGAAATCACGCCCGGCAAGCGTCACATTGAACTCCAGGGATGTCTCTCCCCACCAGTTGACTACACCTCCCACAAAATTTCTTCTTCACTGGTATAACGACCGGTTTTATCGAGAAACAAGATTTACCGAAAATGAAGGCGAAAACCTTAAAAACTTTACGCCCGTTTTAACGAAAACTCTCAAATTAGAGAAGATCAACAAATATCATCTTCCCTATTGCGATTACGATAGACGCTGTGTGGTTTTTAACTTATTATCCCTGCGGCAGCGTCGGCTAGTCTCAGACTTAATTTTTCTTTTCAAACTGGTCAATGGCTTGCTGGACGCACCTGATCTTCTGTCTGTGTTGAACTTTAATGTACCACAGCGTTTCACGCGGCGGAATACTACATTCCTTTTAGGCACATCGAACACGAACGCTCATCTAAACTCGCCTATCGTTCGGCTTTTGAATACTTACAATCAGGACTTCAACCATGTTACTCTATTTGGACTCTCGTTGCGCTCATTTAGAGAATTACTATTACGTAACGTTTAGTTGTTATCTTCTGTATTGTAGTACAATTATATAATATTTTTCGCTTTTTTTTTGTAATTTTTTTTTAATTAGCAACTATCAATGCTGTTATTATTATTTTCATAGTTAATGTTATAATTATTGTTATTTTTTTTTTCTTTTCTCGTTTTTTTGCTTGGTATGTAGTTAAGTGCTTTGTTTTTATGAGGATGCTTCACTGGGGATATCCTCCCTGTTTGTATCCCAATAATAAATAAATAAATAAATAAATAAATAATGTAACGGTCTGATTTTTTGGTAGGTCTTTGATGTATTGTGTTAGTGTAAATTTGTTTTGTGTTGTCAAAAAAGGAAGATTTTGGGTTGCATAATACGCGTAACGTAATATGTTTATTTATTTTTATTGTTTTTTAATACATTTATTTGTTTGTTTTTTTTTAGCAGGGTACTTCTAGAACTTCCTTAATTTTCCATTTTTATATTCCTCTCATTTCTAATTTCAATTCTGTTTCCTATTTTCTTTTTATTTCTCTAATTCAAATTTTGTTTATGCGCACGTTCATTTTTTTTGTACAACGAGAGTATTTTTACAAGTCTTCAGAGATGATTCTCGCTCTCTTTAAAACCAGCTTTGATACGTGCCACACCTGTGAGTTTCGGAAATTTTTGGTGATAGCCATTTTGGTAATTTGAAAATTATTTGGTTGGAAATTTCCATTTTCCTTATTTGGAGGATTTATCACTTGTGTGCGAAATAGTTTGGGAAGTGATTATTTCATTCCTGTTTACGGTTTATCCGGATTTTCATCGTATCATTTAAAAAAAAAAAAAAAAACAAAATTTTTATCCTGGTTAAGGCCTCGAAGATCTGAGGTAAGACTTTTCTTTTAATCCTTAATTTACAACTTTTAACAATCTTTGCGTTATTTAACAAAATTCCTTTTTTTTTCTTCCCACTTCTTTTTCATTTCTATTTCTTTTCCTAATTCTCTTTATTCTCGCTTTAGGCCTTTTGTATTGGAGAGCATTTTCTTTGGTTTATTTACATTTCCTGTTGGAAGAAAACACATTATTAAATTTTATATTGGGAATCAATACTCCATCTCTTTCATCAATATCCATCCTTTTCTAAGTTCTGGAAGGCGTTGCTGAAGAAGAAGACTTACTGGATTAAGTCCATCACAGTCAAGGTCAGATAAAAACCTAAAATAAAATAAAGAATTAGAAGTTAAAAGTATTATACATATAATTCAGTTATTTTTTTGTACTTACCGTTTTGTTTTCCTCATCTGTTGAATTAATTATTTTTTTTTTGTTTTACGAAAAGTAATTGTTTGATCATTTTTTTCTTTTTGGTTCTGAATATTAATTTTTTTGTTTTGTTGTTAGATAATTTTCATTAGCGAATTTATTTTTGATTTCGGTTTTTATTTTTTTTTTATTATTACGGCTTTATTTTGAGCTCAAATATACGGAGTCGTGCGGGTTCAATTTAGGGATTTTCTTTTTAGTTTTTTTTTTATTGTTCAATCGCTAATGACATTATTTTTTTTGAATTTTGTTTTCGGAACCTTGTATAGTTTATTTTGTTTTAATTTTTGCGAAATTCTAAATTTAATCTTTTTGTTGTTCCTTTTTTTTGCATTTCGTTCTTTGGGTATTATCCCAAATAAATATTGTTGCAACTCAAATCTTCGACTTATTTTTTTTGTTTGTTGTTGTATTTGTTGTTTTTGTCATTTGTTTACAACACACACTCTACCAACTTCACGTCACAGTTCGTGGACAATACGGGAGCAACTGTGTGGCGCCTTAAAGAAATTTTACCCGACCCAATCTCCAATTGAGCTAGGCGAGGACCCGTGTTGTGTTTGGTGTTGTAAATGTGTTGGTTATTATATGTATTTTTTTTGTTGTTGTAATTAAGGTGTCACAATAATCACTAAATCACCGCAAATGTATACCAACTCATTAACGTATTTGTATACTCGCAAATCAAAACTACGCCGTCAAACGCTATAAATCATCCAAAAAAGACGGAGCACGAGAACAAACGTGTATTGAATCGCGAACTGTTAGGGAAATGATTTATCATTTTATTACCCGTTTTCGGGAGGCTCAGGTGGTGCGAGTCGTAAGGCGCCCCTGCGGGCGACCACGGCGGCGGGCCGATGTCCACACGGAGGCATCGGGGGGCAGCTTCCACGAAGCATTTCCCGGACGACCCTCTTGGTCGGCTAATCGCCCTTCCCTACGGGGTACCGTTGATGCTAATTTTCCGCCCTATCTGCAGTTATGTTCCCTTGGTCTCCATACGGTTTCGCCCAATTCAACGGGCAAGTTTCGTCAGTGCTAGAAGTGGGTGAGCCAGAAAAGGGGTATTGCGAAGTCAGCTTGCCCCTTAACAAAAAGCCATCTGGGTTACGGGCCCACACAATGCCCTAAGTACTCAACTCGTGTCAGGTTGAGCAGTATATAGCCAAATGCCTAGTCATTTAATTAGTGACGCGCATGAATGGATTAACGAGATTCCCGCTGTCCCTACCTACTTCAGTCGTGGTTATGATTTCATCACGCTTTTTGGCTGCGCTCGTAGAGGAACCTAATTTACGGAGCAATTTTCGCGATTTTAAGTGAGTTTCGTTTTGGCCAACGTTAAGGACCTTATTAGTATTAGTTTAAAGTTAGTTAGGTGTTAATTAGTTAAGTTTTGTGGAAGTTATTAAGTGTTTAGTGTTATAAAACCGCGTGTTTTTGACTTAAGGTCGAAAATCGCCCACAGACCTCGAGTCACTGTGTGACGGAAAAGGTCTGTGTTGGACGAAGACGGTGTGTGTTGTTTCCGTTACGTGACGTAGTGTCTGGTGACGTAGGCTCGCCAAATATCATATAGGGTGAGCACAACAAACCTATATATAGGGCGTCCCAAATAAATATAAAATCGACCGTATCTCCTAAACTAAGGGTCGGAGGGCAAAAAGGACCGTTTTTTCGGTCCCCCGTAAACTTTCCTTAGTCGGTAAAAGTGACAGGGGTAAAGTTCATTTTGGGATGGGTGAACTTCCGGTCGGACCGGAAGTGGCCGATAACTTGCGGGGTTGAAACAAAAACCATCGTGTTTGTTGAGTTGTGGGGGTGTCTTGTGACGTGTTTTTGTAGTTCCGGTCAAACCGGAGGTGAAAAAGGGAGGTGTGAAAAAGTCCACATCTCGGAAACGAAGTGTGCGTGAGCGTTGTTGGTTGTTGTGGTGCGGGTAGCGAGGTGCGTGGTTTAAACCTCGGCCCTGAGAGGGGCAAAAATTCGTGAGTGCGTGTAGTGAAACGTAAGTTCAAGTTGCGTACGGTCTTGTTCGGGTAGCCCTTAAAAAGGCTTGTTCGGGCGCGATGAGTGGGAACGAGATGGCCGAGAAGGTCTTCAAGCCGAAGCAGGCGCTGGCGAGGTCCCCCATCGGGTCGCGGGCCCCGGATGGCACCAGGAAGGTAGGGGCCGAGGATGGCGGAGCAGTCGGAGGTGACGGACGGCAGAAAGAGGGGAAAAGCGTTGTCGAAAAAGTGAAGGAAATGGAAAAGAAAGAATTACAGCAGCGTAAGAAGGAAGGGGAGGTGCGAAGGAAGAAAGTGGACGAGGGGAAGAAGCCGGCGGAGGAGGCTAAACTTACGGTTGGGAAGGTCCTGCCGGAGGAGTCAACTCCGTATGCTGACCCGGTCGATTGGAACGTGGAGTCAGCATCGGTCGCTAGCTCGAGGGCTTCGGAGGCTGGGGAACCAATGACAATTGACGAATATGGTAAGAGGCAGTGAGACGACGAAAGCGATGATGACCAGGAGTCTACATCCAAAAAAGGTAGGAGAGTGAGAGTGTTCGAGGGTGCGGTCCGTAGAAAGGGTGCGGGCCTTGTAGATCCGGAAGATAAGATCGAGATCATAAAGCGCGAAAGAACGGTCCTTCAACAGTATCTTCTTCTTTCGGCTTCGAAAGTCAGCAAGGATGCGTCGGCGGTTATCCTTCGAAGCTGGAATGTTTTAGAGGACTCTCTCCGTGAAACGCTTTGTAGCGAACCGCAGATCAGTTCAGATTTTGGTAATTAATTATTGATATTTTTATTCATTCTCGGATAGAGGGGATCGCTGCTCGACTCATCCTTCCTTTCCTTTTCTTTTGTCTAATTGTTATAGTTGTAATTGTTTGATTGGTTAAACCACGCGTTGACCAATAAGATTATTCTTAGAGTTAAGAGCGTTCAGGGGGAAAAGTTTTTCCTTTTGTTTTCCTTCCCTCTCTTTTGTTTAATTGCTGATGTTGCAATTTCTAATTGGTTGAGGCATGTGTTGGTCAATAAGGACTTTCCTAGAGGAAAGAGCGTCCAGGGGATAAAGGTTTAAATATTGAGGAGGAGCGCCTTTTAGGATAGTTTTGGTTCGATTTAAAATTAATTCCTTCGGCGAAGTACCCTGTTCGGTTTCGGTTAAGAGTCTTAGTGTAAAGTCCGAGTAAGACTCCGGTAATTTTTAAGTTTGATGTAAGTTATTTAATTATTAATTAACTTTTATTCGATCGGATTAAAATTAAAGTGTTATACTTTTTGACGAGTCACTCCTCTCAATATGATCGCTTTAACCCTTGGTAAGTCGTTAATGTTTTATTTCATATATTAACTTGTAAAGATTGTAACTAATTGCTTTGGCTTCTTCTGATTTGGTATAAACCTACGTAATATTCGATGTTATTTTTGAATTATTCATTTTATTAAATTGATCATTTTGTAATTGTTGAACTTAGATATTTTTTGATTAAATTGCTTATACAGGTTTTCAAGTAGTCAGGTAAATTACTAGATTAAAATTTCTCTTGTTAATCAATATAAAGTTTTCGAGTTATTTTTGTAGCAAAATTTTGTTTGTTCCAATTTATTTTAACTTTAATTCTGTTTATTAATTTTAGGTTGTATTTTATTTCTTTTGCTATTGTTTTCGTTTGATTTCACTTCATTAAATTTGTTATTTAAATTTGACTTGATTTCTTTTATTAAATTTCATTTAACTTTGCTCCCTAAATCCAAGCCGGCGTGACAAGGTTCTGCTTGTCGCATACGCCTTTAGCACGCCCACACAACAAAGTAAGAGCCGCTCCTTACAGCTTGTTGAGGTAATTAAACTTCGGGAGTAAGTAAAATATCTTAATCTACTAAAGAACTTACCAACGGGCGATGCGGTGGCGGGGAAGAGGTTTGAGGCAAATGCGAAGGTTATAACGAGGTTGTCAAAACGTGAAGGATGCAGTAACGTGATCATGGAGGTGGAGCCGGAGGCATCGAAGCTTATGATGGGGATGCAGCGGCTGTATATCGACAGTAAGGCATGTCGCGTTGTGGACTATGTGTTGGTGACGCGATGCTTTAAATGCCTAGACTTCGTTCATATCGCGCGCGTGTGTGACAGAGACAAACGGTGTAGGCACTGTGCCGAATGCGGGCACGCGGAAAAGGAGTGTAAAAACAAAGATAAACCTCCTAAATGCGGGTTGTGCGCAAATAGGGGGAGACCAGCACAGCACCCAACAACTTCCAGGGACTGTCCAGAAATCACCAGACAGATAGCACTGCGGCGTGAAAAAACGGACTACATTCAAGATTAGAGTTCTACAACAAAATTGTCAACGATCACGGGCAGTGAAGGGTGAGGTGGAGAGGGTGGCGTACGAGCGGGGCCTGGACATCTTGCTTCTTCAGGAACCGTACCATGCGGTGAACATCAGCCGGATGAGTGGGTGCGGATGAGCGACGTAAACGACGCCGTGAACGCGATGAAGTGCGGAAAATCCCCGGTGAAGGATGAAATTTATCCTGATTACGGAAGACAGCTCTGGGCAGTGAAACCGGGCGTGCTAAAGTATCTGTATAACATGTTGCTACACTCTCAGAGCGGTATAAGGAAAACAAAGAAAATGTTTGAGATATCGTAAGGTAAAGATTTATAAAAAAATTTAAGAAGTGACAATATAAAAAAAAATTTTACATAAAGTTCTTTCTTTATGACTCTATTGATATAATGTTACTGATTAGACGAAGTCTGTTTGTATTGTATAAAAAAAATAAAATTACTAATAACCTTCTCTAACGCAAGCTTGAGTTGTACGAGTAAGATTGAAAAGTAAAAAAAATAATAGATGTCTTTCAATAAAACAGAACTTCTTTACAAATGTTGTGAACCAACCGAAATAATAAAAAAATACGTAGAATCGATCTGACCTTAATGGTATCGTCTTCAAATCGAAGGATCTCAGAATCGTCAGCTTTTAATTCCTCTGGATGGCGGTGGATTAAATTTGAGGATGATAATTTGCTCTCAGAGAAAATGGTGGAACAAAAAAAAAGCCTCAATTTCCACGAGGCTTCACGTCGAATAAATTTTTATTTCGTGATAAAAAAAAATTCCGGAAAACTCCGTAAATGATAATTACTATTATCAAAAGAAAATATCGTATTGTGAATTAATCCGCTAACTTGCGTTTTGTCTTCACGACTCAAAATTTATTATAAAATTTTTTAATGATGTCGAAACCAACAAATTATTCTGTCACAATCGATACTATCACGTTGACGAAAAATTCAGAATGTTATGAAAGCATATCCGGGTTTTCTTATATACCCTTGCTAACAAAAACTTGGTCTTAACGTCATTTCTTGGACTGCGTGTTTCAAAACAAATTTTAACAAAAGTTATACTTAATATTTATATAAAATGGAAATTTATAATTGTTACTAAAATCTTGAATAAAATTTTGAGCAATATTGAAAGTTTAAAATTATAATAAAAGTAATTAAAATTTTGTAAAATTTCCACCTATGGTTGAATGGGGAAAGTTAAGGAACGGTTTTGCTGAAAAGATACATCATAGATCAAAAAAATGATATCAATTACCTTACGTTTCTCTCTTTTTTTTTTAACACAAAAGAGATAATATCCGTAACAATGTGTTTCGAGCACAAACGTTTTCCAACGCAATGGAAGCGTGCGGTGGCGGTTATGCTCCTAAAAGACAAATCGAAACCGGCTACGGAGCCGAAGTCTTACCGCATCATATCACTGTTACCGGTTTTGGGGAAACTGCTCGAAAAAATATTATGGTCTAAAATCGATTGTCATTATAAGGCGAACGTAGGCCATAGCCCGCGGCAATTTGGCTTCAAAAAGGGAATGGGGACGGTAGACGCGCTGTGCGCGGTGAGACGTGTTGTAAACGGTTCGACGAAGAAATATGTCCTCGGTGTTCGTATGGACATAGCGGCGGCATTTGACAACTTGCCCTGGCCGGCGGTGTTAAAACGCTTGCGGCAAGCGCGGGTGCCGGGGAACGTGTATGAGGTAGTTCGGGACTACTTCCGGGGGAGGCGAATGGTTATGTCGTCGGAAGCAGGATCTGTGGAGAAATTGGTTACCAGAGGATGTCCCCAGGGATCGGTCTTGGGACCACGGTTCTGGAACATCGTCTTGGATGAGCTGCTGGGCTATGAGGCTGAGGGAGTGGAGATGGTCGCCTACGCCGACGACGTGCTGGTGCTGGTCGCCACCGACAGTCGGGCCGAACTAGAGCGAAAAGGAAATGCGGCGCTGCTACACGTGGACGGATGGACCAGGGACAGCGGTCTGCGGGTGTCTTCTGTCAAGTCCTGAGCTTTATTTTGTTGTTACAGAGTTGTTATTGATACTTATTCTTATTGTGTTCAGAGTTTATGCTTACGAAACTTCGTGAACTGTGGTGTCCAGGTTGAGGCTCTCCTGTTAAAACATGATGAGTTGGTAATGATTACTACTTGTCTGTTTGGAAGTCTGGGCTGGCTCCTCCGGTGAGGTGGTCCTGCAGGGGCTCGGTCCTTCTGGGATCGCTGCTCCGGGGATCTGAAACAGAAATAAGAGTTTGTATAAAACATTGAGAGTCCCGGGAGGGCGCTGTTGTACGGTCCTTGGTCCTTCGGGGGCTGGGTATCCTGGCTCGCTGCCTCGGGGTCCTGTAACATAAAATATTAAGTATGTGTATAAACAAGTAGGTATAAATTTCGTAGTATAAGTGTGACTAGATTGGTGATGGAGTGAGTGATGGACATTGGACCTGGTGACTGGCGGTTGGTCATCGGGGCGGAAGGTCTGGACGCGGTGCTGTCCTGACAACGTCCTTTCCTGCCCTGCGATCTAGGGTTGCTGCTCGCTGGCTACGCTGCGCTTTCCCCTCTGTCGCCGGGGTTTCCTACGAGCTATAAACGCTGGAGGGATCGGGGCGGCAAGAGGGTGGGCCTTCGAGCACCCTGGGTGCTGCGTGGCTGGTGGGTGTGCGCCCGCGGGGAGCGGCGGGGGGAGGCGTGTTTGGGGCGAGGCGCTGAGGCTGGGCCGGATGCTCCGGGAGCTGCGGCTGGTGTGACGGTGCGATGTTCATGGTGTGTCTGGGCGGGAAGGTGAGTAGCTGTTAAATGTTGTCCTGCGTTGGTCTTAGTTGTACTATAGTTCGAGTTGTTAGGGCAGTGGTTTCCTGGTGCATGGGGCCCCGCCTCCACGTGGCAGGGACGGTAACTTCTCCCTTCTGGGGGAAGGCTAAGTGGGCAAGTACAAATGATAGAGAGTGATTGGAGCGGCAATGGGCTAAGCCCAGGTACCGCATGTTGTGTTGAGTATGTTGTGTGTGTGTCCCTACCTACTATCTAGCGAAACCACTGCCAAGGGAACGGGCTTGGAAAAATTAGCGGGGAAAGAAGACCCTGTTGAGCTTGACTCTAGTCTGGCAATGTAAGGAGACATGAGAGGTGTAGCATAAGTGGGAGACTTTGTCGACGTTGAAATACCACTACTTTCATCGTTTCTTTACTTACTCGGTGAGGCGGAACGCGTGCGTCGTCCGCTTTCGGCGGCGACTGTCACGGTGTTCTCGAGCCAAGCGTATAGAGTGGCGTGAGACCGGATTTACTCTCGATGACTTCGCGCAACGAAAATTTCGAAAGTCGGTTTTTCCCGATGAAAAAAAACGGTAAAAGAAATTTTCCGCGCATGCGGAAAATTACTACTATTCAGTTACTATTCAAGTTACTACTATTCAGTGGGATTACACATTTAGACACATTTGTTATCAGTTATGGTGATTTTGACACACTTTTAATCAGTTGGGAATATTTAGTCATACTTGGAACCAGTTGAGGACATTTGGACACACTTCCTACTACTCAATGGGAACGGTCCGCGCATGCGCAGAAATTTTTTGTGAAACCGCATGCCTATGGCTCGATTGAGGACATTTGGACAGACTTGAAGTCAGTTGGAAACATTTGGACACACGCGAAATTTGTTGAGGACAATTAAACACGTTTAGAAATAGTTCAGGACATTTGGACATACGCTGAAGCAGTTGGAGACATTTAGATATACTTTGAAGCAGTTGAAGACATTTGGACATATTTAGTCAGTTGGGAACACTTTTATACATTTTGAATCAGGTGGGATCATGGTTACACACTTAAAAGCTGTTGGGAACATTTAGACACATTTGGAAACATTTCGGGACATTTGGACACACATTGAAGCAGTTGGAGACATTTAGATATACTTGGAATCAGTTGAGGACATTTGGCCATACATTTAGACACATTTGGAATCACTTGGGAACACTTTGAAACATTTCGAATCAGCGCGGGACATTCTGACATACTTGGAATATGTTGGGAACATTAATAATAATAATAATAATAATAGGACTTTATTTCCCACAGGTACCACCCAGTTACAGGAAAAAAGAATTATAACATCACAATATTTAAATTAACTAAATGAAAAAGATATAGCTATAAGCAAAAATACAAACTAATATAACATAATAAACTAATCGTAATCATAACTACTAACAATCTACTGCATGCCGAAATGATCCAAAGTTACCGCAACCACCGTGTTCAAGGAATCAAAAAACATATCGCAATGCGGCGAAACCTGATTGCCGTAATCGGACATCAACGAGACAGGAGATTTTCGTAAAGTGTTACTATTACTACGGCAATTATAGAACGTGAGGGGACAGCGTGCGTTGAGACGTGGTACAAGAAAGGATAACCTTTCCAACAACCAGCCGCAATCAATATCATTATGCAACAGTTTATGAATAAATTTAACTATGTAAACAACTCTGCGCTGTTGTAGTGAAAGAAAACCAAACCGCGAAAGGAGAAACGCGTAATCTGCACCCCTAGGCGGATAAACACGATCCAGTCGAAAGCATAGGTACTTTAAAAATGTCTTTTGTATAGATTCAAGCGCATTCGCGTAAAAGTGATAGAACGGATACCAAACAATTACCGCATACTCTAACCGCAAAATCGATCTAATCAAAAGCGATCTAATCAACGCAAAATACAACGTACTATCGCCCAAACCGTATTTACTACATGGCGTAAGGGACAGAAAACAAATCCCCCGCACGGTCGCTTTGCCGAGTACGGCCGAAGAATCGAAGACTGGAGGGGCGTACTCATTTTCTCTCGAACCTTTGCTCTAGCCTTGTCGTCTCTTCAACCCTGAAGTGCCGGGCGCCCGATGCCAGCTTAAAGTCGAGCGCGCCTTGGATTCGAACAAAAATACACAATTTCGTTTTTACAATTCAAATAACTGTACCAATGTTATGACGTAGTCGATTTTAAAAATTCATAAAATAGTCAAATATATTCATTAAAATAAAATAATTGAACTTTAATAAGTGAAAAAAATTGTTTCTTAATTTTAAATACGTTTCTGTACTGTATATCTTCGTAAAGTTAAAGAATTTAGTTAAAATTCGATGTAAAAATCGTCTCTTAATTTCCATTAGTAATATTTTTTTTCTAATCTCATTTAAAATGGCATTTTAACCGTTTAATATTATAGAAAGTCTCAATAATTTCAAGCCATTTACGACCATTAATGCGTTTACGCACCGTTTCTTCACATTTTTTTGCGTATTTTTGACATAAGGCTTTTGCGAATTTTTTTTTCTTGAGTTGATATATTTTTTTTGTAATAAGTTTTAAAATTTTACAATAATTTCTCACCTTCATCGTAAATGGGTAAACAATAAACTTTTTATTTTTTGTACACTTTAGTAATGTTAAAAAATTTATTACCTTATTCACATAAGGTAATATAAAATTTCTGTTGAAACTACCTGTAAACTGAATTTTATAGATTGTTATTTATGAGTTAACGGATATTTGATTCTAATGTAGTCTAGATCACTTGTGTAAAGTTTGGTTCGGATCTTCCAGCGAATAAGGGCGGTAGGGGTAGGTAATTAAAATCTACTTTTAGGTAGTTCACCCTCGCGGTCCCTATGCAAGTGGAATTTCTTTCGATAAATATATTTCTTATCCTGTCTAGAAGACGTATATAAAGTTTGGTTCGGATTTTGGAACCAATAAGGGCGGTAGAGCAAATTATAATCTACTGCGGGGTAGTTCACCCCCGCGGACCTTTGTGCAAGTGGAATTTCTTTCGATGAATATATTTCTTATCATGCCTAGAAGGCGTATATAAAGTTTGGTTCGGATCTTCGAACCAATAAGGGAACTGGAGCCAGTTATTTTAATTAAAATTGCTGATTGTATCTTGATATTAGTGATAAATATATTTTAATTTTATCTAATTACTTTTAATATACTGTAATTAACTTCTTAAGTTGATAATGTAATGTTTTTTTGTTCGTAAAAATTGAGACCCCGTGTGTCCGGTATTACGGACGTCTATGGGCGTTCGGGTAGCATCGGAAATTTTTACTGCTATCTTTTACTGCTGCCTTCACACCGGTGTCTTTATTGTTGATTTGTTAACGAGAGAGAGAAGGTATTTATTTCAGTAAATGTACAATTAAATATTGAAACATATCATACAATAAATTATATAACACTCACTAGCTATAGTACTGAAACGGGATGCCGACCGTGGTCCTCCTGCCCATGTAAAGATCGCTGATCATTGTTTAAATTCGTTGATGCTTTTAAAAATGGTGTCAAAATCAGAGCGTTGGAAGAGAGGGGAAAGGTTTGAGGACATTTTCTGGTATGACTTTTGTGCTAGGACGGATTAGCTTTCAATGATTGCCATATGCTCCCTGCTTTCTCATACAGGGATTTATTAAAGGGATTGTACAGAGGATTTCTAGGATTTCTCAATTTGGTGATGATTCTAATAGCTGATGTGTCTGCCACTTGAATGTTTTTCAATGAATTATTTCCAATTTTAAACAACAACGGGGATCCGTACTTGATGATACGTCTACATATTGTCTTGTAAATATGCATCGCACATTTAATGTTAACACCGTTTGAACAGATCCGGACTATGCCTGGTTATCTGTTGTAGGAAGGTGGTGAAGTAAAGACGAGTAGATAATTAATTCATACTAAATTTTATTATAAAAATTTTCAGTTTATATACAAAACCTTAAAACTACAATGTGCGATTGATTCCAAAACAATCGTGTCTTATTTACAAAATTAAATTTAACAGTTATTTTGCGTCCTCGATTATTGTTTGAGCGCTGCCGATATCGATTCTTAATCGGCAATTGATCGATGGACCTGCTGAGTTGCAGCGCTTCGTCAGGTGTTGTTGCGACCGCTAACTGGGTCGGTTCGAACCTTGCGTTATCACTATTTTAATTTATTTCCTAATTTGTTTCTAATATTTAAAAAAATCTTTTTTGTTTAATTAAGATTAAACACCGTTGTTCTTGAATGTCAGGTAGTAGGAATCAGGTGAATGTCTACTAAATTGCTTGGCACGTGCTATTACTTTCATTTAAACTTTTTTTTTATGAATATCAAATTTCAATTTATTGTCAATAGTTATCCCTAGATATTTGCATGTCTTCTTTGGCTGGACCAAGGTGTTCGCTAATCTGATGGTCGGAGGATATTCAGATGTTCGATGAAAAGGTAGAAGCAGTTGTGATTTCAGAGGGTTTATGTCAATTCGCCAAATTTTGAACCATTTTTCTACAGTCAATGTTTGAAGTCTATTTAATGCTTTTTTTAAGGTCGTATGTGAGCGACTAACGCTGTATCATCCGCATACTGCGGCATATAGAGTAGGTACTATGGGCATCATATCATGTACGACAATATTAAACAAAGTTGGAGAAAGCGAAGAACCCTGCGGCACTTCTTGTTTTAGATAAAACACATTGGAGGTTGTTTCATTTACCTTGACACTGTTACGGTTGTATTTTTCCTTAATGTTTCATTTGTGTGTTTAACCTTTACTTTCCCAATTCTTTGTTTTAATTTTATTTTGTTATCGAGTATTTTGAGTAGCATAAATTGCGCGATGATTTATTTTGTTTACTTTTTGAAGATCTTCTTTCATGATTTTCCTTTTTCCTTTTCAATTTATTTTCCCCTAAACTTATTTTACTTCTTCGTTTCCCCTAAAAGATGATGTTAATTCTTACATATTCTTGCTTGTGCGCAAGTATAATTTTTTTGTGAATTTTTGAGGATATTTATCGTCTGTGTAAGATTTTCTCTTCCTCTTTTCAAGTCAGATCAGTACGTGTACGCACGTAGAGTTAGGATTTTTGGTAAAGCCATTTTGAATTTTTCGCGTGGTGATTAGTTCCTAATCCAAATTTTTGGGATTCATCTACGTGTTGTGCAATTTATTGGTAACGTTTTTGCACGTCCAATTATCGGATTACTCCGGATTAAACCGTATTTTGAAACTTTTCTAAGTTTTTCTGACTAAACCTCGAAGATCTGAGGTAAGATA